ATTGTTATACGTAATAGAACAAAAATGGTACAAAAAATTTCGTTTCACTCTATGTTGTGATATATCCATTTTGACTAACTATTATTTAACGGATGATGAAACGAATCATGTAATTTTAGGCTTAATTTATCAATATAATTGTCTTTAAAAGAAACAATGAAGTTGGTACAAATTACAGAATCTCATATTGAAAGATACAAAAATTTTTTTCTATGTATCAAGCATATTTCTTTAACTGTGACCGAGTATGTTAATGATGTTATATGAAGAAATAATAGTCGTTACGAATGATTTATGTGCCATGACAGCTCATTTAAATATGAGTGTAAATTTCTCATGAAAAAAACATCATTGATGAATGAACTTCGATCTGGGGAAAGAATACTTAACCAGCTCGAAATAAGACTAGAAAATTAAGTTGGTGAGTACAAGGTAACATTGTGCCAAAAAGTTAAAAGTTAATAATTTATTTATCGTCGAACTGAAAAATGCAATCGTATGTGTATACAAGTATAAAACCGAATTGCATAATGTGCTATTTCTCACTCCCCTCAACGTCTTCATATTTTTATAATGACTCCTGCTTCTCTATAACACATCTTTTGCTTATTCTATAAGCCTTAAAAAGCTATTGAGTGGTGAGATGAAATAATCAGTCAGTTATTAAACTTAGATACCAGTACATCGTGAGTGGTTTAGAAGCGCGAAATCGTTGGCCTTCACTACATATATTTCTTATCATTATAACTAAAATTAGTTTAGCTAATGTTCTCTGATAAACTTTGACTCAATTATAATTAATTTTAAAGATTCTATTCTAATTTACTAGATATTGAATAGAATATAAAGAAATTAGTTGCCGTTTTGTATGATAAACAGAAGTTTAGAATTTTGGAAACATTTGAAATTCATTGTTGGGTTGATTCTTGAACAAACACACTAATCAATTTTATGATCGAACACTAGAAAACGGGATATTTTCAACGCTGAAGTTACAAATATTTGACGAAAATTGAGGGGAAAAAACGTTAAAGATGACACATTGACACAATGTTCATGATTAAATAATGATTAGATACATCGTTAATCGCTGATAATATAATGTTGTCAGTGAATAGAAGTGAATGATGTTTATCTAACAAACGTGGTGATATTACTTATGATCTTGTTGATATACCAATACAAATGAAACAATTCATTGACTTAAAAGAAGTTTGTTAATCTCAGTTTGAATTAAAAGAGATATCATGACCTTTGTTCCTTTAATATCATCGTCACATCATCTACATATTATTTAAAGATTTTATAAATTAAATAAGAAACTTCATTTTTTTTTATAGTTTATTTGTTTATTGATAACAAATCATTATTGTGGATTCATTAAATGCATCCATCAACAAGTATGTTGACATAAACACATACGAATATATATGTGAAACAACAAATTTAATTATCAAAATGAGAAGGAAAAAGTAAATTTACATTGAATTTCTAATTAACCTAAACGATGTGTTTGTTACACATGTTCTGACTTTCAGTTAACCTTTTTAAATCATTTCTATTATACATAGCAATGAGTCATTGGCAGATAATTGATTTTTCTCTTCGACTCTACTTCATTGCATTCTCGAATTGTGACGCTTAGAGACTGATTAACCAAGTTTGTTTTTGCTTTTTAAAATTTTGTTCTATTTTGATGAGTTTTTTTTTGAGACAGGCCTAGTCCTAACTTCAAACTTATAAGTTTTACATCAAACGGTGAATCTGAGAACGCTAACGTTTAGTTGATACTTATTCAATGGATTTCTAATTCAATCTTTTTAAACGTAATTTAATTTAATGCTTCCATTCATTTGTTAAGTCATCTAAAATTATTTATTTGCCTTCATTCTTTTCTCAGAAAGAATAAGTATGATTCAGGTACTATTGAAAAAAGATCACTATCTGTTCACAAAAGTGGCATTATCGTGGATCTGTATTCATAGACTCTGAATAAATTCCCCTTTAGATGATGCATATATATCAATGTGTGTGTGGGGGGGGGAAGGGGGAACTTAAGAAAAGTCTATATTATTAAACAGGAAACCATGTTGTTAATTTATGGTTTTCTTAAAATAGTCTACAGATTATGCAGAAATGTATTTTTCTGTTTTAAATGAATGTTTTAAATTTTCTAATACGCATGTTAAAAATCACAATTTTTGTATAAAATACAACTGGAGGGAGTTATGTAATCAAGATAACCATCTGATTTTATTGAACAAAATACGAAACGAACATTTTTTCTTCTTCTAAATGTTAGTCTGATTATATCATGAAATTTATGATTATGATGTAGGGAGAGAGAGAGAGAGAGATCATATGACTCATTCTAATTTTAACGTTCTTTTCAATAGTGTAATGTTTACTTACTTCAATTGCATTTCATTCATGGTTATATTTAAAATGAAATTATTGCATTTATAACATGTATAATTTGATTAATTAACTCAGTAACAGTCATTTTCTTAGTTTATCTGATGACAAAAACAAGTGTATGATGAATAGGTTAAAAGTAATATTATCAGGTTAGCGAAATCAGTTTAAGGCTAACCAATAATACAAAATGAAATCTGAGAATGATAAATTTATTTTCAAAGAAATGATTTATAGGCATGTAATTCCTTAAAATATAGTGAATTCTATACAGTTTTTTTTATAATTTTATTGAAAAGCAGTTTAATACTCAACGAAGGCTGAATATAATCATATCTCTGTCATTTGCTTCACTGTATAGTATGCCTTAAAATTGTTTTTCACTTGATATACATAACTATGAAAAGCCAAGTTTAGTTAAGCCATATGTTGGTGGGATGAGCGGAGGCGCTAATGTGTTTCTTTGTTTTATGTACACAAATCTTCATATCCTCTACAGACTCTCAAATTGACATGGTTTTTCCAGTAACTAATTAAGTGATGTTTGATAATGAGTTTGTAGACGTTAGTAACAATCTACATATAACTTTGTGATTTACGATGCAGAATCTATTTAAAATAACTTCTAATTATAATAGTTAGCCAAAATTTGTGTTTTTAGGTTTTGATGTAATCAAAGGGACCTGAAACGTAAAAATCTCATGAAATTGTGTTAAAAACAGTTATGTTAATAAATAAGGACCATATCCAATAACTACCACTAGCATTCATGATATCGGAATTTCAGCAGCTGCTTCATAAAACTAGATTTTTGTCGGAACTTATCAATGTAGTGTTAGGTGTGTATAGTGATAAATTTATTCAGAGAACTATTAGACAATCTTTAAGATAGACCGGTTGTGGCTAGCAGTATAACCCATGGAGTGTATTTCGTCCTGTTTGAGACTCATCCAGTGAATGTGCTCTAGTGTTGTTGTTTACAGTGATATTCAAATCCAGTCAGATGTTTTATCATTATTTTATGTGATTTGATACAATAATATCACAGATCAACCATGAATTTCATTAGCATTACAAGGTTAGGTAAAACGTTAATAAATAAAATGCAACGCCGAAGTAGTAAAAGTTTGGTATCTAAAAGTTTACGATGAAGTTTCATAATTCGTAAAATCATTTTCAGGATGACAGCATGTTTAAAGTATGTGTTTAGCAATAATTCGTTTCATTCTGCTGACTTTATTTTGTACGATCATTATTCTCACAATATCAAACCATACGCAATTTATGGTTTATTAGAAATGGATTACCAAACCAAATGTTACTTTTGCCATATGAGATTTCGACGCCATCAATTGTAGTTGTTATCGTTTTTCACTAGCATATTTTTTTCATTTATTGTACTGCAAATTATGTATAGTGAATGATAAATTGATGTTTACTAGATACCCAATTTCATACAGAACTTATGGATGAAAACCTAATTTTATTTAATGTTGTCCACCCTGTTTCCATGTAGTAGCATTAACTGTGTAGATTTTTCCATAAAACAAAATACACTAGTTCGTGCAAAATTTTGAATTGGATGTACGATTTTTCATTGAAATTATTGAGAAAACAATTGATTAGGACCATTGTATAATTTTTCTTCCCATATCGATTACTATCACAGGGTAGAAGAATCCACGGCACGTTCGCGCTTCATAAAAAAGATTTTCGTCTCAACTAAGTCGTAGTTTACACTTTTCAAACCGCGTTTTGTTACATGATATTAACATTCTTATAGCAGATGAAAAATTTTTTCCTCATAAATTAAATTTATCGAAAATACTTAACAATTCCTGATCATGATAATGTAGTTTTGGCGCACTTTTATCATTTTATTGATTTATAGATCAATCTTATTTTGCTCTTGATAGTATTTACTTGTATGAATGATAATAAACTTGCTTACTGAGATAGTTTAAGGAGCTCTAACAAACACTGTATGAATCTTTTAAAGCTGTACAACTGTCATCAAAACTTACTTACTTACGCCTGTTACTTCTCGTGAAGAAGCATAGGCCGCTCACCAGCATTCTCCATCCAACACTGTCCTGGGCAATCCTTTCCATCTCCTTCCAGTTCCTATTCATCCTTTTCATATCTGCTTCTATTTCCCGATGTAATGTGTTCTTGGGCCTTCCTCTTTTCTGCTTCTCTTCAGGATTCCAACTTAGGGCTTGTCTCCTGATACAGTTTGACGATTTGCGTAATGTATTTCCTATCCATTTCCATCGTCTTTTCCTAATTTCTTCTTCAGCTGGAAGCAGATTTGTTCTCTCCCACAAAAGGCTGTTGCTGATGGTATCCGGCCAATGGATGTTGAGTATCTTGCGTAGACAGCTATTTATAAATACTTGCACCTCCTTGATGGTGGTTTTTGTAGTTCTCCAAGTTTCAGTTCCGTACAGCAAAGCAACATTCATTTATCATAGATAATTTAAGTTCCCGAATTTCTCGCTTAATAGTTATTATTGATTCGCTACTCCATTTTTACATGACAACTGATCATCATAAGGGGATATATGTTTTTTCTGTTTATTTAGATTTAGATGAAAAATTCCAACTGGAACCGGTTTCTACAGATTTAGCTGTCAGTAAACGTCTTGTACTAACGTGCCTACCACCTGAAGGAGATCCTAATCCTGAAGTAGGTTAATTCATTTATTATTATTGATTGTTTTATACCTGTTAAAATAAGATGAATACTAATAGTACTGAATATTTTACGTGCTTATACATGTTTTGTTTTCCAGCAACTGTCTGCCTATTTTCTGTTAGTATGTTTACATATTGCTAAGTATTCATCGATCATATGTATCATATTGTATTATTAGACCATGTGGATACCATGATTATGATCTTTATATGAGTCAGGTTAATAAACATTGTGAACAATATTTATGATGTACAGAAACATTCAGACAATATAAACCAATAGGTTCAGTAATTTGTAAAGTACGACAGTTAAGCAAAGAATCATAACCCATCATAAAGTTTGTTGATTTAATTAGTTTATATGGTTTTGGGGAACAGAATATACCTTTATCAAGTGAGAACTACGCCTTTTAACCAGATGTGAAGTAATTAGGTCAACGTCATCAGTCAAGTACATTTATAAAATAAATGGTGTTTCAACGCATCTCTTTTTTCGATAAACTGTCAACAAATGAAATTTTTAGGCGTTTTTGCTTTCTTAAGCTGATGGGATATAAATGTTGTTATTACAATCATCTACGCAACGCCAATGGAATAGTTTTATGCTTAAACAACAAGAAAATCACAATATAATGATATATGTTAATTAATCAAAGTAATTCTATGGTAGAGATAATCCATTCGTACAGATAGCTAAAATGTCAATACAGTTACATCACTTTAGCCTATCGACTAAATATTTCAGAGGATAAAGAATGCCATAACACCCATATCTGTTAAAGTATAATTGACTTTCATGATCTAGTTAATAAAGATGTATAGTTTTGAAACAATAGTTGGTAATCCAAAAATATCTGGTAAACATTCAATTTACTAGTCTCATATAAAACGAAATACATCTTTAGAATTTTGTTCGTAGTCACCATTAAACATAAGATCATAATTTCGATGTTATATTTTACATGATACTTTCAATATCTGATCTCTGTAAAAAGTTCATAAATTTCATTTTTTTTTAGACAACTGACTGTTTTCTAAACAAAAATTGGGTAGGTATTTCATATAAGTTAACCAGTAAAATTCGGCTTCTTCACAATAAATTCACTCTGTGAAGTCGAATAAAAAGGTACACAAAATGTCTGTTTGTTTAATGTACCTCTCGTCTTATCTAAGTAATAGAGGAACTGATCAACACTGAATGATGTGTAAAAATGTAATACGTGAAAAAATAATTGTGAGCTTAGATGGAAACTGATATGTGGGCGAGAATGATACTGATTGGTTGTTTGCTTAGTCAGACTTGTAAATAGTCTGACAAGCGTTAGATGAGTTATCTATTCCCCTATCCTTATTATTATTGATTGTTGCTGGTTTTTGGTGTGAAAATATATTTACTTTTTAGTCAGGCTAATCATGTGTTCTTGATTTGAGTTGTATTGAAGTCCTGTACACTAGGCACTGAAAGGGAAGCTAATGTAGATATTCGTCTAAGGTAAATTAACGTCCCATTCGTGCAGACGAAGAACCCCGAGCGTTATAACATAAACATTCTTAAATTTCAGTCTTTTTAGGGTTTCTGAGTAACGTACTTTATAAAGTTCTAATGAAGTTTGACAAAATAATACCTCTGACGAATTTTATTATTAATCAAAATTCAGATGGTTTCTAAATTTTGAAAGAAAAGGTAAGTCAAATAATCACAAACTTATTGTACTAGTTTTAGGAAACAACTGCTTGATATAGCCTTGAACGATTTATGTCATGTCTCAGTGTTGTCATGAATTCGGTGCTTCTGAAACTTACTTTTGAATATCAAAAACTATGAAACATCAATTGTGCAAATGAGAAAATTCGATTTTCTAGTAAACTGACTTTAAAGGGTCCAGGGAAAAAAATATGCTTAAATCTTAAAATTAGGACTAAAAAGTAACATCAGTTATGATAGGTCCTTTTGGAATTATGTCTCACTGAAACAAATCATATGCTTTTTAAATTTATGCTCCGGAATTACGTAACTAACATTGGGTACATACAGTAGATCCTATTAGCTAACATCTTAGAGATTTTAACTGAAAAATTGAGGAGAGTTTCTTTTCCCTGGTATTTTAAGAAACTATGTAGGCATAAATGTGGTTATTGTTGATTATAAAAGTTCAGACTGAACAAAATTTATGTTTTTCTTTTGACAAAATCCCAATCTCAATCTTATTTTTCAAATAGTTTTATCCGATGAACGTCACTTTAGGACAGTAGTTTCCAGTTACTAGAACTGTGAGTGAAATTCTACATCAGGAAATTTGTTGAAATAGTTATAAGTGACAAATTTCTGAATTCCGTTTAAACAAAATGACTAATATTCTTTATATTTATTTTAGCTAACTGTTTAAGCTGTGCGATTAAATAAGTCACCATTCATTCTTGTCATATTTAAAAAAAATAATCTAAAGACATTAGTGAGACGGTAATAATTTTATATGAAACTAATTAGATTTACTAAGATTTTCCCACTTGTTCCTACTATTTATTCCTATCTATAATAATGATTGATTTGGAATTAAAATTCCTGGTGAATTTAGATTAGGAGTTTACTATGATAGTATCTAGTCAAACGTTGGTTAGTAAGCATAATTTTTTTTCAAAAAAATAAATATCGACTTATCACTTTCAGTAATTCAGCTTCATTTATTATTTATTTTAGTGAGGAAAAAGAAACGACGAAAATCTTAGACAAACATTCATTCAGTTACTGACAATTTTAAACTGAAAATGTCACATGGGCACATCATTATTTGTAGACAAACCATATTATTTTATCGATAATACTACTAATGTATGTAATGTGCATATTTATGGTGCGGCAAAATATTTATCAGATGTAAATTAGCCAAGTGATTTACTCTGATTGTGTAGAAAGAGAAAAAAAGTGTAAATATCAGTAGTACCTAGTCACCAGAGATACTAGTTAGCGTTTACAATAAGAAAATTATTAGATCTTTACTGCTGGAAAGGTTTATCGAAAAAGAATATCTTGGAGGCTAGACGTTTCCATCTAGTATGTATTTGGTTATGATTGAATGAATTTAGGAATCGCTGTTGCATTTTTAAATTTAGTTTGACATATAAAACTGCTAACAGAAAATTAAGATCAATAGATTTTAGGATTACGGGAAATTCGATTTGGGCATTTTTTTCTATCCACTGACGTGTAAATTAATTTAAAGTAAACGAGTTTAATAAAGAAATAATTACAGAATCCGTATTTAGACAGTGCCTTAAGGATGAACTTAGTTCAGTCGATTATATGCCACTGTCTTTACTGAAGTGTTCAATGATGTAATGAGTCATATACCACTAGGAACAGCTCTAAGGCTTATCATTCATGTAGTAATCCCGCGTATTACTGATAATTGGCTTCATTATCGTATGTTTATGTCCACTGTCTGGAAGGAATTGAAGTAAAAAGTCACTAGAACTTTGCTGAAAATGTTTTGCTCAGATAATATTTTGATTATAACTGCTTCAGTAGGACTGATTATAGGCAGTTAGAATTTTTACAAATACTTAATTCTGAATGGTTTTTGTAAAGTTTCATATGGGTCAATTTCAAAAGTACTTTTGGACTCCATATTTATTTGACGACAAAACGACTATTATCACCCTAACAAAAGCTAATTAGTTACTCTCGTTCAAATGGGCTTCTGAAGGTTTTGTAGTTCTTATTCAAGTTTAAAGTTAATAATCATTATCCTATTTCTACCAGCTAAGGTTGTATGGCTCAAATCATCGATAGTAGAATACGTGTCTTGGTGTCAAACTACGTTAGAATCAGAACCATCTAAATGTAACTTATTTTCTGCGATATATTCCAGATTATAAGAAATAGGTTTTAAAGATCAAGCAGACTGAAATAAGCAATCAGCACTTTCAAAATGAGTTTAATTAGGTTTTTAGCAATCATTTTTATATCTGAGCCTCAGGTACTCATGCGAACACAGCATATTTACATTTACCTATAAATAAAGCCAACGATGGAACGTTCAGTTTTTGTTCTGATTAGTGTACTTTGCAATCAAATAGTTTAAGGCTGCTAAATCTTTCCGAGAAATTAGATATTTTCATAGCACAACAGTTACTAAAAGCTTGTTGAATGAAAATTATTTTTTTTCTGAGTGACAAATTCGTTTCAAAGAAACAGTTTATTATAGATTATATCAACTTAGGCTTTAGTGAAACTATTTTCAATTGGCTAAAATTATTATTTTGCATTTAATTTAATGAAATGTCAGATATAATGAAGATATATTCTACATACTTAATTGAATTTAGGATTGGCGTTTTTTCTAATTGTTCTCATTTCTTATTATCTCAATATTGAGATAATCAGTGACCTCGACCAGTTATCTATAATGCATCTGTCTAGAAGTAAACAAGTGAACTATTAATAAAGAGAACATAAGGCATTAAATACTTAACCTCTGTCATCTATGCTATCCATTAGTAGTGAATAAATATATATGTATATATAATGGGGTGGTGGTGATAATTGTAGCTGAGGTGCGGTGTAGTGAATTATGATGGATTAGACAGGATTTTTGTTCAGATTAGCTTGAAGATAAATGTCCTAAAATTACAGAAGTAACAATGTTGTCCTTTTTAATGTTATCTAGTAAAATATAAAAATATGAAAACATTAAATAGATAATGCTGCAAAAGTTTTATTTTCCGGGTAAATCATCAACTTCATAAATGAACAAAACAAATAAACAAATGGCAAAACACTAATAAGCGGATTCACAATAGGAGTGACTAATATATGAGTAGATGAAGTGTCTTTTAAATCTAACAAAGAAAACTTTATTAATCATACACATTAAATATTAGAAAATATTTATACATGTATCTTTAAAAACAAACTAGAACAAAATCTAAGGTCTAATGAATGAAGCGTTATCACATGTACAATATATTAAACAACAATTAGTGATGTGAAAC